GACCTGAAAGAAAAATCAAAAAAGGCAGTAGTGCAACGGAAACTCATAAAGCTCCAACTCCCTAGGACAGAGCACCTGGGAACAAAAAGTGCTTTATGAGTTCAGCTGCAGCAGACCTAAACATACCTGCCCAGCAGCTCTCAATGAACAACGGAGCTCACAACTCAGGACTTAAGCCCCAATAAAAGATAGACTGTCTCCTCAAGTAGCTCCCTGACCCCCATAGATCCAAAGACGCACCTCATAAAGGAGAGAACGGACTGACTAGTAGGCGAGCATCCTTCTGGGACAAAGATAGCAGAAGAGGAAACTGGCAGCAACCCTTACTGTTCTGCAGCTGCTGCAGGTGACCCCCAGGCAAGCAGGGCCTGGAGAGGACCTCAGCAGTCCTACAGCAGAGGGGCCAGACTGTTAGAAGGAAAGCTTAAAAAAAAAAAAAAAAAAGAAGAAGAAGAAGAAGAAGTAACTTCAGCATCCACGAACTAGACGCTCACTCAGAGACCCAATCTGAAAGACAGTAATAACAAAGACAACAGGTGGATAAACCCACAAAAATGGGAAGAAACCAGCGCAAAAAGGATGAAAACTCCCGAAACCAGAACACCTCTCCTCCTAAAAGGGATCACAACTCCTCAGCAGCAAGGAAACCAGACCGGATGGAGAAGGAGGGTGATGAAATGACAGAATCAGACTTCAGAAGGTGGGTAGTAAGAAACTACAGTGAGCTAAAAGAACATGTTCTAACCAAACGCAAAGAAAATAGGAACCTTGAAAAAAGATTGGACGAAATGCTAATGAGAATGGACAGCATAGACAGGATTATAAGTGAATTGATGGAGCTGAAAAACACAACACGAGAACTTCGTGAAGCATGCACAAGCTTCAACAGCCGAATTGACCAAGCAGAAGAAAGGATATCAGAGGTCGAAGATCAACTCAATGAAATAAAAAGAGAAGGCAAGAACAGAGAAAAAAGCGCAAAAAGGAATGAACAAAATCTTCAAGAAATGTGGGACTACGTGAAACGACCCAATCTACGTCTGATAGGTGTTCCTGAATGTGATGAAGAGAATGAATCCAAGCTGGAAAATACTCTTCAGGATATTATCCAGGAAAAGTTCCCCCACCTAGCAAGGCAGACCAATATTCAAGCCCAGGAAATACAGAGAACACCACAAAGATATTCCTCAAGAAGAGCAACCCCAAGGCACATAATCGTCAGATTCACCAGGGTTGAAATGAAAGAGAAAATGCTAAGGGCAGCCAGAGAGAAAGGTCGGGTTACCCACAAAGGGAAGCCCATTAGACTCACAGCAGATCTCTCAGCAGAAACCCTGCAAGCCAGAAGAGATTGGGGGCCAATATTCAACATCCTTAAAGAAAAGAACTTTCAACCCAGAATCTCCTATCCAGCCAAACTAAGCTTCATAAGTAATGGAAAAATAAAATCCTTTGTGAAAAGCAAGCACTCAGAGATTTCATCACCACCAAACCTGCTCTACAAGAACTCCTGAAAGAGGCTCTACACATATAAAGGAACAACCAGTACCAGCCACTCCAAAAACACACCAAATGGTAAAAGAGAATCAACACAATCAAGAAGCTGCATCAACTAACCAACAAAACAGCCAGGTAGCATCAAAATGACAGTATCAAATTCACACATAACAATACTATCCCTAAATGTCAATGGACTAAATGCCCCAATCAAAAGACACAGACTGGCAAATTGGATAAAAAGCCAAAACCCATCAGTGTGCTGTATCCAGGAAACCCATCTTACATGCAAGGATACACAAAGGCTCAAAACAAAGGGATGGAGGAAGATCTATCAAGCAAATGAGAGCAAAAAAAAGCAGGAGTTGCAATTCTCGTCTCTGAGAAAATACACTTTAAAGCAACAAAGATCAAAAGAGACAAAGAAGGACATTACATAATGGTAAAAGGATCATTGCAACAAGAAGAGCTAACGATCCTAAATATATATGCACCCAATACAGGAGCACCCAGATACATAAGGCAAGTTCTTAATGACTTACAAAGAGACTTAGACTCCCACACAATAATAGTGGGAGACTTTAACAACCCATTGTCAATATTAGACAGATCAACCAGACAGAAAATCAACAAGGATATCCAGGACCTCAACTCAGACCTGGAACAAGCAAACCTAATAGACATTTACAGAACTCTCCACCCAAAATCCACAGAATATACATTTTTCTCAGCACCACATCACACCTACTCTAAAATTGACCACATAATTGGCAATAAATCACTCCTCAGCAAATGCAAAAGAACGGAAATCATATCAAACAGTCTCTCAGACCACAGTGCAATCGAGTTAGAACTCAGAATGCAGAAACTAACTCAGAACCGCACAGCTTCATGGAAACTGAACAACTTGCTCTTGAATGTTGACTGGATAAACAATGAAATGAAGGTAGAAATAAATATGTTCTTCGAAACTAATGAGAACGAAGACACAACATACCAGAATCTCTGGGACACATTTAAAGCAGTCTCTAGAGGAAAATATATAGCAATGAGTGCCCACATGAGAAGAAAGGAGAGATCTAAAATTGACATGCTATCATCAAAATTGAAAGAGCTAGAGGAGCAAGATCAAAAAAACTCAAAACCTAGCAGAAGACAGGAAATAACTAAGATCAGAGCAGAACTGAAGGAAATAGAGACACAAAAAAACTCTTCAAAAAATCAATAAATCCAGGAGCTGGTTTTTTGAAAAGATCAACAAAATTAACAGACCACTAGCCAGACTAATAAAAAAGAAAAGAAAAAATAACCAAATTGATGCAATAAAAAACAATAAAGGGGATATCACCACAGATTCCACAGAAATCCAAACCATCATCAGAGATTATTACAAACAACTCTATGCAAATAAACTAGTAAACCTGGAAGAAATGGATAAATTCCTGGACACCTGCATCCTCCCAAGCCTAAACCTGGAAGAAGCCGAAACCCTGAATAGACCAATAACATGGTCTGAAGTCGAGGCAGCTATAAAGAGCCTACCACCCAAAAAAAGCCCAGGTCCAGATGGGTTCACAGCCGAATTCTACCAGACATACAAAGAGGAACTGATACCATTCCTTCTGAAACTATTTCAGACAATCCAAAAAGAGGGAATCCTTCCCAAATCATTTTATGAGACAAACATCATCCTGATACCAAAACCCGGCAGAGACTAAACAAGAAAAGAAATTTTCAGACCAATATCCATGATGAACATAGATGCAAAAATCTTCAATAAAATACTGGCAAACCGATTGCAACAGCATATCAAAAAGCTCTTCCACCATGATCAAGTAGGATTCATCCCTGGGATGCAAGGCTGGTTCAACATACGCAAGTCCATAAACGTAATTCACCACATAAACAGAACCAAAGACAAAAACCACATGATTATCTCAATTGATGCAGAGAAGGCTTTTGACAAAATTCAACAACTCTTTATGCTAAAAACCCTCAATAAACTAGGTATTGACGGAACGTATCTCAAAACAATAAAAGCTATTTACGACAAACCAACAGCCAATATCATACTGAATGGGCAAAAACTGGAAGCATTCCCTCTGAAATCTGACACTAGACAAGGATGCCCTCTCTCACCACTCCTATTCAATATAGTACTGGAAGTTCTAGCCAGAGCAATCAGGCAAGAAAAAGAAACAAAGGGTATTAAAATAGGAAAGGAGGAAATCAAATTGTCTCTATTTGCAGATGACATGATCGTATATCTGGAAGACCCCATCATCTCAGCCCAAAGTCTCCTGAAACTGATAAACAACTTCAGCAAAGTCTCAGGATACAAAATCAACGTGCAAAAATCACAAGCATTCCTATACACCAGTAATAGACTTAAAGAGAGCCAAATCAAGAACGAACTGCCATTCACAATTGCTACAAAGAGAATAAAATAACTAGGAATACAACTAACAAGGAACGTAAAGGACCTCTTCAAGGAGAACTACAAGCCATTGCTCAACGAAATAAGAGAGGATACAAACAGATGGAGAAACATTCCATGTTCATGGTTAGGAAGAATCAACATCGTGAAAATGGCCATACTGCCCAAAGTAATTTACAGATTCAATGCTATTCCCATCAAGCTACCAATGACCTTCTTCACAGAACTGGAAAAAAAACACCTTAAACTTCATATGGAACCAAAAGAGAGCCTGCATAGCCAAGTCAATTCTAAGCTAAAAGAACAAAGCAGGAGGCATCACACTACCGGACTTCAAACTATACTACAAGGCTACAGTAATCAAAACAGCATGGTACTGGTACCAAAACAGAGATACAGACCAATGGAACAGAACAGAGGCCTCACAGGAAATACAACATACCCACAACCATCTGATCTTCGACAAACCTGAAGAAAACAAGCAATAAGGAAAGGACTCCCTGTTTAATAAATGGTGTTGGGAAAACTGGCTAGCCATGTGCAGAAAGCAGAAACAGGACCCCTTCCTGACACCTTACAGCAAAATTAACTCCAGATGGATTAAAGACTTAAACATCAGATCTAACACCATAAAAATCCTAGAAGAAAATCTAGGCAAAACCATTCAGGACATAGGCGTAGGCAAGGACTTCATGACCAAAACGCCAAAAGCAATGGCAACAAAAGCCAAAATAGACAAATGGGACCTAATCAAACTCCACAGCTTCTTCACGGCAAAAGAAACAGTCAGTAGAGTGAATTGGCAACCAACAGAATGGGAAAAAATTTTTGCAGTCTACCCATCTGACAAGGGGCTGATATCCAGAATTTACAAAGAACTAAAACAGATCTACAAGAAAAAAACAAACAAGCCCATTCGAAATTGGGCAAAGAATATGAACAGACACTTTACAAAAGAACACATACAGGAGGCCAACAAACATATGAAAAAATGCTCATCATCACTGGTCATTAGAGAAATGCAAATGAAAACCACATTGAGATACCATCTCACACTAGTTAGAATGGCGATCATTAAAAGCGGTGTGTCCCGGAGTGCCGCGCCATGTCGCAGACGCGCACAGCCCCGTCACAGCCGCCTGTGGCTAGCAGTGTGGAGGTGGGGTCTAAGGTCACGGTGGCCACGGGGGCTGTGTGTATCGCCGCCCAAAGGCGGGTAACGCTGCCCTCTTGCCAAGCCCACGGAGCCCGCAGCAGCGCCCGGCTGGCTGTCAGCAGCGCCTCACTGTCAGGGCTGAGGTCAAAGGCAGTGGTATCGTCCTGGTCCTCCTGCTCCAGACGCCGCAGCATGGCCCCCGAGGCCACCTCCGGAGTGTGGACTTTGGTGCTACAGACGCAGACGAGGTGCTGGCCGGTCTGGTCCAGCTGCGCATTTCCACCCTTGTAGAAAGGTTCGATTTTGCGCTCCACGACGTAGCTGGCTCCCTCCCCGCGCGGCCCCGGCACTCCGAGCTCACTCGGCCTTGAAGCGGCCCACTCCGGCCTCGGTCTCTGCCATGTTGGGGCTGCCGCTCCCGCGGAAACCGGCTAGAACCCCGGCAGCATCCACCGCATGAGGAGTGAGGCTGGCACGGAGCTCCGCACTCCCGGCGCGCTGCCTACTCATTTTTAAAATAGATACACGTTGCCGGGCGCGGTGGCTCAAGCCTGTAATCCCAGCACTTTGGGAGGCCGAAGCGGGTGGATCACGAGGTCAAGAGATCGAGACCATCCTGGTCAACATGGTGAAACCCCGTCTCTACTAAAAATACAAAAATTAGCTGGGCATGGTGGCACGTGCCTGTAATCCCAGCTACTCAGGAGGCTGAGGCAGGAGAATTGCCTGAACCCAGAAGGCGGAGGTTGCGGTGAGCCGAGATCACGCCATTGCACTCCAGCCTGGGTAACAAGCGAAACTCCGTCTCAAAAAAAAAAAAAAAAAAAAAAAACGAAAAAAAAACATACATATACGTGAATTTTAAGAACAATATACACTTTACAAAATGCAAAACTACAACATTTAACAAAGTAGAGGGCATAAATAGCAATTTAAGGAAGAAAGTTTGAAACAAAATATGATTCAACATGAACTTAGAAATGAAACCTAAAATAGCCAATTTCAATATATAGGAAAAGTTGACAATTTTATGGTTCTTAAGAAAAGTTTTCTTAAGAAAACTTCTATATACCAAGAGCTAATTTAATTTCTTGTGCAAGAAACCTTTCCAAATCTCACATTTATCCTATTTTCATAGTTTATTGCCTTATACACAAATTATTACAAAATGACAAAAGAAAAAAGAAAAGCTGCGATATTGTAAATTGGCTATCATCACTCTAAAAAGCACACAATCTCAGGCTCGGTATGTTCTTAGGCGTTGCCAATAAAATCTAACTAAAATTTATATGGTTTATTTTCCTGCTCTTTTTAAGTGGTAGTTATTCTTCTGCCTCATATAGTTTGCTTTATCTGCTTGACAAAGAAGTTAGCTACTCCAATGACCTAAGGCAAGATCTAATTTCCAGGAAGTTTTAATAAATCAGAGCCTCTAGGCATTAAGAAGAGTCTAATGCAGACATTCTCTCTAATATGATTTGCAATAACATTTCCCAAGTACAATTTTTAAACCTTCTCACATTATATATCAGCATTCTGATATTGTTATTACACTTCATTTTTTCTTCAAATACTAAAGTTCTACTTCCTTTAAAAAGCTTTTTATCATATACCTGCATTCTCTAAGGTTTCAGCAAATTCCAATATCACACTGTGCCCTCTTTCAACATACAAACTCCCATTGGTTTCAGCCGATCCTGAGAGCACATTCACTTTTAAACATGGGACATCTCAACACTATGTTTCTTCATTATCAATGCCATGGATATATGTTAAAGTATGCATTTCTTTATATTAAATCTTTTTAATACAATCATATGTATATGATATATGGATTTGATATATGTAGGAGTGACTGGGAAAAACATTATATATATATATATGTATAAAATTTTGTCTATTCCAAGCATTTTCTACAGAAAAGACAGCACAACAGATACATATTCAGAAACATTATCTTGAAATTGCTTCATCATAAGCTGTGATGTAGTTAAATCTCTTCTTCAAGCCATATTCTGATAATTTCTGCTGTCTTCATCTTTCTACTTTAAATACAGCTGAGAAAGCCAATTGGGTGGGAGTTGACTCATGTAAACACCATCTGGTTCCTTAGTTAGAAGTTTGATAAAGCAACTCTTTCCCAGATCTATATCATTTCTACCAACCCCACTGACTTCCTTCAGAATTCCCTAGGAGACAAGGAGGGTGTCTTTCAGAGTACTACCCTAAATTATAACATCAAACTGCCTCCCATTTTGGATTTTGTTTGAAATAAAAATAAATTGTCAAACAGTGTGAAGTTCCACAAACAGAGGATCTTGTTCTTTAGAAATCTGTCACCACATGTTATCTTTAATTCTAAGCAGCAGCATCTGAGGCAAGCAGTTTCCAACTGTTCTTAGAAATGGGTTTCCTCCACTCATAGGATTCTTATTTCATGGATATTACAACCTGCTGTGTTGTTGCAAACTATGTAATGTGCGGGAAAATAGTAAGCTTGAACATGTGGGGATAAACTTTCCTTGGTTTGCCTTTACCAAAGTTTTTCAAATTATCATTATTATGCTTTTAAGGTAACTACAAAGGATGAATTACAAAGTGACAACCTGGTAGACCAAAAATAAAAGGAAAACAAATCTTATGAACTTTGGCTCTTGTTTGTGCACTCCATGAGGTAAGAAATAGACAGTCTAACTGCCTGAAAGAAGGTATTTTTTTAGATGCTGCTAACCTGCAGCTAAGTGCCAGTAGGAATGGGGGGAAAGTGCATTTAATTCACTGAAGCTAGTTATTGTTCAAAATAATTGCCAGTGTAGAATAATACCTTTTGGAGGTTCACGTGTGTGTGGAGGGGGAGATAGCTGCTAATTTTCTCACTACCTTATCCATTTCAATGACAGAGGCAAAATAGCCTACTACACAGATCCAGATCAGGAAAGCAGCATAGAAAAGGCAGTAATAGGAAAACAAAGAAAGAACCAAATGTTGTGAAGAGAAATCTAAGCTAAAATCAAGCATAATATTCTGTGGAGTATCTTTTATTTCATTTAAGCACAGGGAATTTTTTATGCCTGTCTTTGTATTTCAAAAATTTTGAGAGTTTCATTTTGTACCTAATTTTAAAAAAAAAATAGCCACAGCCACACACAAATATGATAATTTCCCATATCCATAGTAATGATTTCCACAGGCAGAAGTTGTTGTTTTTATTCATTTTAATTATATTTTCTCTCATTGAACATGTTTAACCAGTCTCAATGGTATTCTAACTTGAATCTCCTTCTTTCTACAAAAATATGCCTGCCACAGTCTTCACCCACACTCCCAGGCAGAGCACAATGCTAGTTGACTCCCTGGTGCCTTTATTTTAATCTATTTATTTATTTTTATTATCATTTTTATTATTTTGGAGATGGAATCTCACTCTGTCACACAGACTAGAGTGCAATGGCATGATCTCAGCTCACTGCAATCATCGCCTCCCGGATTCAAGAGATTCTCCTGCTTCAACCTACCGAGTAGCAGAGAGTACAGGTGACCCACAATGCCTGGCTAATTTTCTCTTTTCTTTTTTTTTTTTTTTTTTTTTTTTTTTGGTAGAGATGAGGTTTCACCCTGTGAGCCAAGCTGATCTGAAACTCCTGACAAGTGATCTGCCCGTCACTGCCTCCCAGAGTTCTGGGATTACAGGTGTGAGCCACTATATGGGCACCTAGTGCCTCTCACCATCTGTTTAGCTACCAAAGTTAGTGACAAGGAAGCCTAAGGAGGCCACCCTGTGAACAAACTATAACCAGTTTTGATGGCAGTTCTCACAAGTTAAATTGAGAATGATGAACAATAAATGCATAGCAATTGAAGTTATTAAAAAGACCAAAATCCTTGCACGTTTATGATCATTTACTGACATGTCAGCTGCAATAGAAACTGTAAGTCAGGTAATCAGCAAAAACAATCAGGAGAAAAGGATCATGCTAACATAGCTCTGAAGGTTGATCAGTGGCAAGTAGCTAAAATTTAAAGCAACAAGTTTAAATTAATCTCTGTGGATTAGCGGAGACTGGGTAATATACATCACTGGGGTTTTTTTAGTAATTTTCTCTGCTTGCTATTCTTACATGAGTTATTTGTCCAAATAATGGATATTGATCTAGTTTTTATCTGAAGGTCCAGAGAACATTTTTAAGTTCATTCAGACTTCAAATAACAAAGTTTAATGTCATGTTTTTACAAATTGTAGCTTTTATTGAATTTGTTGACCATAACATACTATAATTTGAGAATCAGCTATAAATTGCCTGTAGAAATTCTTACATATTGAACTATATAGTATTGATATATGTGAAGTGCATGTTATATCTTTGTTAAACCAATACTATCTTCTCAGACACAACTACATATCTAATTGTACTTTTATTCCTCTATAAAATAACTAAATTATTAATTAACTAAACTAAACATAGTAGCTAATGCATATGATGCCTCTCATGTGACAGACATTCCTTTAAGTGTTTTACATGTGTAAATTATTTGTTACTTACAGAAATCTATGAGATGGGTACTATTGTAGTCTCCATTCTTCAGAAGAAAACAATTCAGGCAGTGAGAAATAAAGTAACTGACCCAAGATCACCTAAATGGTAAGGAATAAAACCACTATGCAAACCCCTGAAAGTCTGGCTTTAGGGTCCATGCTCTACCCCTTCCCTAAAATGTATCTTTATTATACTGCTTTTCCAAATTAACTTCCTCAATCCAAAAGAAGGGGAAATACAAGTCTAAAAATCTACCACATTGAACAGCATTTCTGCATCAGTCAGGGCTGTATTTCCAGGTGAGGAGAACTGCATACACCCAATCATACTTTCCACTAAAGCCTGAAATTGTGTTAGATACATCCAAACATCTTCACCCTGCTGATTCCTCTTCATTTGTACTAATTGAAGGCTACTCAGTCTAATGTGCCCTTTTAAAATGGGAACATTTTCAAATAGGTAATCTGTTGGTGTCTGGGACTTCAGCCAAAATAACTTGAAGGCTAAGGATGAGTCAACAGCTCCTGGCCAGGATCCTGGGGTGATGCCTTCTCTCATATGTCTAGTGATTACTACTACTGTTGTCTGGGATCTTAGGCAAGGCCTGTTGATTATTAGCACTGGGTATGCAGGGATGGAATCCATATGGTTGCCCAGGGCCCTAAGTACAGAAGGACCTCATGCTTGGTTTAGTGCTCTGTTGTTGCCATCTTAAAATTCTTAACACTTTAAAGTTTGTGTTTTCTAGTACTGATGGGTCAATCGATCATGCATTTGAGCTAAACAGGTATGTGTAAGACACAAGCTCAACATTCCTTTCTCCCCATTCGCATATAAGGTTTGTGATGCCTCAGGAGCACAGAGTTTCAGTGGACCTGGATGTGAGGATGTTTGGTGACACTTGAAGCCCATACAGGAGAAGCATTTACCTCTACTATTGAGTAGGTGAGGTGGGAAGTTGCTGACAGCTCCAAG